CCCATCTGCACAAGCGGTTCCAAATGAAAGACCTCGGGGAGGCGCAACAATGTCTTGGCATCAGAATCACGAGGAAGCGTGAAGAAGGCAAGCTGTGGTTGGATCAACAAGCCTACATCGAAGACATTGTCAATCGCTTCGGTATGGCCGATGCCCACCCAGTTGCAACACCAGCAGATCCAAGCATCAAGTAGGACAAGTCGATGGCACCGAAGACGAAATCTGAAATGGAAGAAATGAAGTCAGTGCCATACAAGGAAGCAGTCGGGTGTTTGTCGTTTGCAGCTCAAGTCACCCGACCGGATATTGCTTTTGCCGTCAACGTTGTGAGCCAGTACAGTGCTAACCCTGGCCGTCCTCACTGGGAAGCGGTGAAGAGGATAATCCGGTACCTGAAAGGTACAATAACCAAGAAGCTAGAGTACTCGACAAGCGGTCCAGCGGACATAGTTGGGTACAGCGATGCCGATTGGGGAGGAGATGCGGACGACCGGAAATCCAAGAAGCAGCCTACCGTAGCCCTTTCGTCCTGTGAAGCGGAATACATGGCCATGTCTCGCACGATCCAGGAAGCTATGTGGTGGAGTAATCTGCAGTCGCAGTTTTGCGAGGCCAAACCGATTTCCGTGCTGCGATAATCAATCGGCAATCAGCATCGCCAACAACGGTTCGTATAACCCCCGGACCAAGCACGTCAGTATACGGTACCATTTCGTGCATGATAGCCTGCAGCATGGTGTCGTCCAACTGAGCTACACGTCGACAACGGAACAGCCAGCCGATGGGTTCACGAAGCCGATGACCGTTCAGAAGCAGCAGAAGTTTCGGAAGCTAACTGGCGTCGCGGATTAGGGAGGAGTATTGTGATCGTAGCAACCCAGTAATTCGCGTCGCTATATGCACTTGTTGTTAGTTGCTAAGTTTCTGAATAAAATTTTCATTCCACTGTTCAACGTCAACCGATAAAGACGTGTTTCAATTACTCTCTACAATTGTATTAGATGCTAGATAAAAGCTTATTATTATCGATCTGTTTGCTTAAAGTACATGGGAATGTCTGTACATGGCCATGGAGATACACAGAGAATGTAGACGGAGAGAATCTGTGAATGTTACTTAGGACCTAATGCAATGTTCAGCTTGAATTCTCGTTTGTATCAAAAGACTATCTCCTTCGACCGAAGTGTATAAAGAATATCCGTCAAACACTTCCGAAACCATTTTTGATACAAAACAGTGTCAAAATCTAAAGAAAATTCATAGGAAACTGGGTAGGAAACTTGAATTAATCAACTCTTTATTCATCAGAACGGCACTATCAGAATGAACCAGGAGAAGCTCATAAGTTTTGACAGGCGCACCAGCGCAACTATCGGAAATTCAAGCTGAACATTGCATTAGGTCCTAAGTAACATTGATCGATTCTCTTCATCGACTTTCTCTTTTGTTAATAACTTGGGTATAGAAACGTTCCTCCCTTAGCTCAGTCGGTAAAGGCACAGCTACAAAGCAAGACCATGTTGGAGGTGGCTGGGTTCGATTCCCGGCCGGTCCAGGAATTTTTCGGGTTGGAAAATTTCTCGACTTCCCTGGGCATATAGAGTATGATTGTACTTGTCACACAATTATATTAATGCAAAAATGGTACAGGCATCGAAAGCTCTCAATTAATAACTGTGGAAGTGCATCTATAGAACACTTAGTTGAGAGCAGGCAATAAGCTAATATGCCATACGCAATAAGCTTGAAATGCGAGGAAGAAGAAGACGAAATAAGAACCGTTCCTTGTCATGTTTTTCGTATTAGAAGATAGATACTGGCTTCTTTCGTCGATCTGTGAGCTGAAAATAGCTGAGAATGTCTTAACATGGCCGTGAGGATGCAAAGAGAAAGTCGACGAAGAGAATCTGTCAATGTTACTTAGGACCTAATGTAATGTTCAGCTTGAATTGAGGGATTCACAACTGACAAAAGATTGAGAACGAGCTTTTGCGCTCTCTTTCTCCATTAAGCTGAGTTTAGGCAGGGCAAGTCAATTGATCAAGTCACTTGAATTCAACTGACTTGAACGCGAATTGAACGTGTAAACCATCCCTAATAAACAAATACTATAAACGAACGATAACTCGGATGCGTAAACTATTCCACAAATGGTTTGGACGATACCTCGAACACGTCGCTCCTTTTTATGGTTATTTCTATTAGGGATGCCATTCAACTGACTTGATCAACTCACTTGAATTGAAAAAAAGTTAAACCAGGCTCAACTTTTCAAGCCAATTGAATTCAACTGAGTTGATCATTTGACTTGCCTAGTCTAAACCCAGCTTTACTCTCTTTGTCTGCAATCAGATATCCATGTGCACAGCGAGAAATGCACGCTTTGGGCACCCATACATCACAAATGTTCTTCTAATTTAAACTCACACATTCAAAACGGTCTGCAAGTATGATAACGTCCAAAGCGTACCAGACAGCTGTTTCCGTGTTGCTCCCGTTTGACGCGTAAAAGCTTCAATTACAACTAATGATTGTGATGCAAACCGCCATGTATTGTGGAAAATTTGTGGTATGTTTCAACAGGTGATAAGAGGTCTGCTTGGCTTAACATCAGGCATTTGACCATTCACAAACTTGCCACCCGCCACCCAAAAAAGCTCGCTTTTAGGTGCACTATTTAACGAGTTTTGTCATGATAGTGTTATCGACATGCTTAGAAATCAATGCATTAGGCAGACCATCCGAACTGAATTTAATCCTTTTTGAAGCAAACCAAGGTCGAAGATTTAATTGAACCACACTTTAAAATAGTGTATTCATGGTCACTTGTGAAGAAGTACACCTATAATGTGACCATAAAATCTATAAAAATCTACATGCTTTTTTTTTAATTATTTACCTCTGTGTGTTGCACATGTGGACGCAACGCCACTGGTTAAAAGAAAAGTTTGAAAAGAATTTCAGAGTCTCCCAATAGGATCAAGGGAATTCTAAGAAAGATTCCAATCAGATTCTTAGATGGGTTTCAAGGAAATTAAAAAAAAAATCAACGGTAATTATTACGCGGAGTGTTTTCTGGTTAATTCCAGAATTCAGAGCAGAATGCCAAGTTAATTCTGGAATTCATATCATGAGAATTTTAAATAACGAAAAATAAAACTCAGGAAAAAAATAGTTCGGTTTCGGTTTTATCAAATATTTCTCGATAACTTTTTCAAAGGGACGTATCCGCTTTTGTAAACAATGCATTTGATCGTCGATTTGGCGTAACTGGTAGCTTGCCCACGCATGCTAACACTACCATCAGATAGGGGAAATTTTCCCCTACCTTATAGTGGTGTTAGTAAGCGTGTGCGAGCTACCAGTTACGCCAAATCGACGATCAAATGCATTGTTTACAAAAGCTGATACGTGCCTTTGAAAAAGTAATCGAGATTTGTATCCAAAGTCCAGTATCTCCAGTATATTATTTTGACTGGTGACCAAAACCCATGGCTTTACAGGCCCATGAACTTTACATCTGAAATTGAAACGACGAAAATCAATTTAAAATATTGCTAAGTGATTAATTTCTAAAAACAAATAAGACGCGAAACTGTCGAAAATTATGCAGCAAATAGAGCTCTGTTTTTATGGCACACTCAGCTTGTGCCCGGCCTTGCTCGGGATTCAATATTAGCTTGAGTTTATGCGCTAATTAAAAAAGCATTCTATATTTACTTTACTCCTTTACAGATGGGGGAGGGGTCTCGAACCATCATAAGAACCTTTCCCTGTCTCTGCATTCAAATTTTCACGCCGATCGGTTCAGTAGTTTCCTAGTCTATAAGGGTCAGACAACAGACAGACAGAAATTCATTTTTATATGTATAACTAGATAGAAGATTCTGAAATTCTGGTGTGAAAGTTGTTCCTATGTATGGTTAATCTATTTTTCCTGGTTCTGTCGTCGGGTTTTCCCCGGTTATTTTTCAAAATTCCCAGTTCGCTGGCCACCCTGATAATAGATTATCTATACATATATAAATGAATTTCTGTCTGTCTGACCCTTATAGACTCGGAAACTACTGAACCGATCGGCGTGAAAATTTGTATGCAAATTTCATACAAATGAAACAGAAATTTCTGCATAACTCGAGCACTAATCAAGCAAATGGAACCAAATTTGGCATGTTGAAGTCATAGGGGGTAACCCCGTAGATAAGAGGGGGGGAGGGGGGGGGGCTACGTACAATATAGCATGTTTTTTTTAATTGGCGCAAAAACTCAAGCTAATATTGAATCCCGAGCAAAGCCGGGCACACTCAGCTAGTGTGATATAAAAGTTTGATATAAATATAAATAATTGATTTCAAGTAACATTTCAAGTTTTAAAAAAGGTTTAAAGGATTCTTCACGACCTAATTCTGGCCTACTGTAACAAGAACATGATTAATTCAAAGTTGTTACTTGTGATGAGTATATATGATCTTTCCCGTATGTTTACCAGATATTTATCAGCTGATTCAAAATAACCACGCCAAGGTCAGCCTTGAATACGACCATCGAATACTATTATCACAATCGGCTTGTGCCATGTTTCCTCCCACTGACCATATGGGGGTAATAATCAGTAGGGATGTATTACATTTGAACGTACCAACAGGGCAGAAAAAAAACATACACCATGCCAACGCCCGACATTTTCAGTTTTGTTTTATACTTTATCCGACTAATGCGTGCTTACTCTGGGCATCAGAGTTGGCCACAGTGTACACTGCAGATTGCACACGCAATTACTAGGAATGTTTACTGATAAAAGTGGATTGTTTGGAATTCAGTATTGAGTTGTGTTAGTTTGCTAGATAATAATTTCTATTTTTCCACGGAGATTTTGGGTGCAATCAATAGTTTTAATGACAACCTAACAGCAAAGAGTGGTACGCATATCTCTGCTAGGGACTTGTACTCAATTTAATTTAATTAACACAAAGATCTTACGGTAACAATTGGACACTTACCTTTGAATAAGTAATCATATTCATCATCGCGGGTACCCATGGTTCCTGTTGCTTTCCTCTAATGCTATTAATCCAAATGATCCAGGTATTTGGTTACGATTTCTTCTTAAAAAAACACAGCAACTGATTTTCGGCCACCGAGAAGCAAAATAGGACAAGAATAATAATGTAGCGCGGATATTCTTAGTCTTTTTTTTTTTGCTAGCTACAAGCTCTTTTGGCACTTGTTTTCATTTTGGCTGGAACTTGACCAGAAACTGTGACCTCGGGGCTACGACGAAAAACGGGACATCAGTAATAACAAGAGCATAACACTGAACACTCTTTTCTTTTACTATAGCGAATCGATGTGTGCAGCTTTTGTTGTTGATGTTGATCGTCGTTGTCGATCGGTCGTCGTCCGTTGTGTTGTTACGCTGCTTTTGTCTGTTAATCATTTCTAGTAACTATACACAGGCACACGAGGTGAAAGATTCACGCACACGGGAAGCAAACCATACACAGGCAACTAACATTTATTAAATCATAATGATTCACATATACTCGGCTCACGGGTCATGCCATGGATACGCGGATAATGGGGGAAAGAATCGTACAATAATGACTGAATAGGGTTGACGTTTCAGGACCAAGATTGGGATCAAAATTCTGTTCCAAAAGTAACATTGAGTGCAACTTTCCGAGAAGAAATCTAGACCAACAATTGAAATAGGCGGAACAACCAAACGTAACCAAGGGCTTTAAACGAAAATTCCTCGATAATCAAAACACATCGATGCAATCTAACACCACCATCTGATAGAGCAAACTTCCTTTATTTGATGGCATGGTTAGTTTGCGTGGGAGTGGTTTGATTCTCGAGAAATTTGCGTTTAAAGCCATCGTTTACGTTTGGTTGTTCCGCCTATTTCAATCGTTGGTCTAGAAATTTTGTTTATTCGACGTTATCATCTAACATCCAAACCTGGCATTGATTTTGAAACAGCCGAATTTAATGTAACTCTCTCTAACTAACGGATATCAGAGTTTTAAGGAGGATGTCGGTTTACGAAGGTTAAATTCAGGAAATAATATACAATGAGTCAAGGAGAATATCCAGTAAGGTAGAGTTGACTACATTGTAGTACCTTAAGTCTTGTTTGCACTACCGCCATTGTAACATGTTATAATATTAATTATCAACAAGATAAATGTAATCATAACAAGATAGCCTTGGTATAAATATAATTTAAAAGATTGCCAATTAATAGCTTACTAAAACTACCCAAGAGGGTCAGGGAAAACTTATCGAATATAAACTATCAGTTGTTTTCTAGTGGTCAAAATTTGCCTACGATAAGTTCTAGATAGAGCTGGAATTAGGGCGTATCAGCTGAGAGAGAGAATGACTTCTCTCGATGATTTCTCGGAAGTCATGGCTCTCCCTGGCAAATCGACATCACCATCGAGTAGAGGAAGACTTCTCCTACCCGATGGATATGTTGGTTTGTGTAGGCGTGCCTTGAATTACGAGAAATCAACAAGAGAAGTCATTGTTTACAAAGGCTGTTACGCCCTAATTCCAGCTCTATCTAGAGTTATTTTTTAAATAATTACTAACACATTTAACCCTCTCCTTCCCTTAGTAGCACAGGGGTGATCCACAACTTTTCGGTTCGTCTTATGTTTGTGAGTTTACCACCGACAAACCGACATGAATGATCATACAAATTACAAAGAAATTTCTGAACAAAGCTCAAAACTGACATCTGTCGCCGTGTTCGCGGAAAATATTTATCCTAGCCACGAACACGCGTACAAAATATATGAGTTGGTTCGTGTCTAATCTATTCCGGACAACTTATTTTTATCTAGATGAAACCTTTCTATGGTTTTGACAGATGGGATCGCTGTACATTTGAATCGGCCGTTATGGATTCTCGATCAAGAGTTAAGTTTCAGTTTCATGTCGGTTTGTTGGTGAGTTTACCATTAGCCAAGCCAGTACTTATTTAAGCTTATTCGTGTGTTCATTATTCTCGTCCATATGTATTCTTGAGGATTCAACTGAGTAATGTCCTACGATTTTTTTTTTCAATTTTGAAGTTCCCATTGTGTTGGAAAAGTTAGCTTTGTTGATAAGCTTTCATATACAAATAAGTTTAATATTGTAGTCTTATTAGAAATTTTAATTTTTTTTACCAGATCGATTGGGAGAGCCGTATCCGTGCTATTATTAATTGGAAAATAGCGAACACACCCTTTTGAAAAAAAAAATAGACGCTAGTCAAAATAACCAAATTCTAACAACTTTCAACAAACTATGTTTATTGCCCATAGCGAACAATTATGCAAGTTTCATGGAATTCGAAGAGGGTAAATTTGATCGATTCGTCAGTAGTTGACGTGAAACTGCTCAGGGGAATCTCTCAAAAACTGCTTAGGTACGTAGTTTATGGGCAAATAGACAGGTTATTGAGAGGTTTCAGATCTCCTCTTTTCCCCGCATAGACAAAAGCACGGTTTTAACATGCAGGAGGCGTTGGGTTTGATTCCCGGTCCGATCGTGGAAATTCGTGTTGAAAATTGTCTCGACTTCCCTGGACATAGAGTATCGTTGTGCTTTGGCACACAAAATACAAATTCATGCATTGTGGGCATAGAAAGCTCGCAGTTAATAACTGTGGAAGTGCATCTAGAACACTAAGTTGAGCTGTCCTTTCGTATTCCGTTGAATTGCAGCACAGTGCATGAAAAAAGAAAGCAATAGTACTATTTCAGATGTAACAAATGCTTTGTAAACAAAAGTTGGAAGGCCCTTTCTACGCAAACCAATACCACTATCGGAAAGGGGCGAATTTCCCCTACACGATGATGCTGTTTGTTTACGTGGGTGTACTTCGGTTCGCGTGTAAAGGGACTTACAAGTTTGGCTACAAAAGCTGCTGGACCGTTTTGAAATGTTACGCGAGATTTAGCCAAATGGGATATTCCCATTTCTGTATAGAAGATCTAAAAAACATTCTCAGTCCAGTTATTTTTTTCAAAAATATGACACATTTCAAATTTTCCATAGAATTGATTTGGAATATGTCAAAATTTCGAAATCAATTTTTCAAAAGAATTATTTTAAAATTATTCATTAAATTTATCTAAAAATTATACAATACTTCTATAGATTTCTCTTAACTCGTACCTGAGAAGCTATCAATTACAAAATCACAATGATGGACAGTGATTCCTTCTAGTTGTTAACAACGTCCATCATAATTACATCAGATGAAGAACCGAAAAGACTACTTTACTTGATATTCGAAAAACAATCGCTCTTGAACATCTAGACTCAAGTCCCGTCTAGTAGCCAACCCTATTGTTCTGATGCATTACACGCATACACACAAATACATTGACTGTCACATGCATGCACACATACTTTCGCAAGCAACCGAAGGGACAAGGAGTGACTGGCGAACGATTATGATGACGATGATGATGAGACGATATTTTTCTCCCATCTTCACGGGACGAACTGGACAGAAACTACACACAAGGCCACAATCTCTGGTCGTTTCCAGAACATCCAAACCAGCCTGTGGTCAGGAAAATTGCACTCACTTATTATATTCCTTCTCGGGATTTCCCCCGGCTCGCCGATTCCACCTACTGCGGGATGAACAAAATCCAGAACAATGATTTTCTTCTTGCTCTACTTAGAACACGACCCGATCCTTTCAATACATATCACTTTTCTCTTTCTTCCGAGGGCTGGTTCCAACGCAGCAAAGAAAAAAAAAAACCGTCCTTCCGAAGAAACTGGAACTAGCTCTTCTTCGTCCGCACACTCCGGAAACACTGTCCACCTTGTGTGGCTGTTTGCGTTTTCCTTTCTTTCTCACACTGCACACAAAAACGCTCTGGACACGTCCGCAGCAAGAAAAAAAAAGGGGTTTTTGCCGTTCACTAAGAATCCGGATCTGATTACTTTACACGACCGACAAATCGAGTGGTTCGCAAGACGGGGAAGATTTTCGACGTCGCTGCACCAAGAGAGCCACCAGAACCAGCAGCAGCGCAAAGGAAGAGGCCAAGGGTTTCTTCGTTCCAGCAATTCGCGAAGAGACGACGACGTTGCGGTTGTTGGCTACGATGAGAAACAAAATGTCGGCTCTGTGGACTGTAATCGGTTGCCTGGCTCGCTCTTTTTGTGGGATGACCACTGTTTGGCAGGTGCAGTGCTGCCATAGTTTACATAGTTATGAAATCTAATAAATTTAAATTATTTTATATTACTACTTCCTGGATCAATAACAGACAATTCAATATGTTTGAATGAAGAAACAAATACAACAATCCATTGCAATAGCTTGAACAAAGCATGATGCATACAATACACGGGCTCAAATAAGTTTAACCGTTTAATTAAATTTCAGTTTTCTCAACCTTAAACATCGCACTGGGAGCACTGAAAATGAGTCATGATGTGTCCCGGTGATAATAAAATTGAGTGATGAACACAGTCTGTTTGAAGCGTACTGTCAATTGACGTGGGTAGTAATGTCATCTACACAGAAAAAAAAAAGTTGTTGAATATTACATCCAAACTGCTGCAACCAGGTCAATAATTCGCGTTAACAGCACCGTCGAAAAATCGACTCTTTTTAAAAAGATTGACAGTTTCTTATGGGATTTTTCGGTGGAGTGAAAGGATACTACGAAGTCCGCCATGTTTCACGCACAGTCTGACGTTTGCTGATGGATTTTACCATAGGAGTAAAGAGCTACAGAGTCGCCGTTAACGCCAATCCATCGGTTGTGTAATATAACGTTGTACGATGTACATCGATTTTGCGAACAAAATTACATCCATTGATGTAATATTGTATCTGCTTTTTGCTATTACATCATTATTTCATAGATCAGCTTGAATTACATTGATCGCTATTACATTTTTTTTTTGCTGTGTAACGTATCCGCGAGGGGTTTGTACTAAAGAGCCTGAATTTATTGGCGTCTTGCAGTGAAACTTTTCCAAGCTTTCGCCACCTACATTTCGAAGTGAGAACTACTAGAAGGAGGATAGTTTCCAAATTTTCCAAGTAAAACAGATGCTTTTTGGGGCAAATCGGTCCATAAAGAAAAACTAATAATTTCCCGTGGAAACATTTGCTTGAATCGTGTAAGAAAACGTGTTTGAAAACTATTTATTATTATTTCGTTACGGATCGGAGATGTTTTCATGGCACATTATCCATAACAAGTTTGCACCCACAGGGAGAGGTTACCTCCTGCGCAGCTGCATTTTTCGAAAAAAGGCGAATATGTGCGATTTCCACTAAGATGAAAGTGGAAATTAAGTGAATTTACTTAGGAAAGGTTGTATCATGCTGGTGATAATAGAGAATTGGTTGTATAGGACGCCAATATTCAATAAATGTTCATTTTGGCCGTTTTTAAGCAAACATATTGGTACTCACAATTTTCGACGGAAAACGCACCGGAACTTGCTTTACTCAACACGTACCATACTATAAAATGGTGCTAGATGGTATTCAAAGTGATAACAAGATGACAAATCATCTTTATTTTGAGTAATTGAGCAATTTACTTCTGTTTACATCATATTTACGATGCAGCATTGATGGAGCCGCGAAATGAAATTAATATATCTTATAAAAGTTCAACTGGAAAAGTCAAAGATGCACATCAGTCTGATCGTAAAAACGTTTTCTTCTTCAATTCAAATGTTATATTCTAAGGATTTTACACAGGCTTGATGAAAATTATGATTTAACGCTAATTTTCACGAATTTTATATGCAGTGTCACAACCCTGTGCCTTGTGACGCACCTCTCCTACCACAACAACCTCGGTGGCAGAATCCACCACAAAAACCTCGCCACCAGAATCCAACTCCGACCGTGGTTTCCAGCTGTCAAACGCGATGATGTGGAAGTTTTTTCTTGGTAGGGCAAAAGAGTGAACAACTTCCATGTGGATAGGTGAGGTTTTTTGTGAAAGAGGAACAACTTTGTTTAAAAATTAATTACTCCTACATAAATCTAGATTAAATACTAGGGCGGTGTTTTGCAAACTTATGAACTACTTACAAACTATACTACTAACTACACAAAAGACAAAAGGCAGGTAAAAAATCAAAAGGCAAATCATGCACAGTTTAACCTAACCATAAAAATTTCCCACAGCTACACATAAATAGTACGGATTGTTGCGAGTACGGACAGATTTATTACTAGAAGAACAGTAAACGTAAGTAGCCATCAACATAAACTCGTATATTAAGGAAAACAAACACATCTAACAAGTATCCTAAACATAAAGATACACACGAATTGTAGCTTATAGCCCAAGCCCAAACTAATGTATGTATTTCTTATTAATTCTTCCCGAAGGGATTTTTTAACATCCCGTGAAATAAATGTTAGAGAATTGGAAATATTTTTCTTCCTGTCGGTTGCTCGCACAACAAATTAAAAAATCCGTTTATCGATCGGGGGCTTTGGGCGGTGGTCAGTATGTCAAAACGGTCAGAAAGTCAGAAGCGGGGAACTTCTCCGGTAAATAATCCGCCGGTAGGAACGAGCTGCGGTATCTGTAAGAAGCCAGACGATAGTCGAATGGTTGCTTGTGATACCTGTGAACAGTGGTACCATTTCGCGTGTGTCAGTGTGGATTCGAATGTTGAGGAACGGGATTGGAGCTGCGAAAAATGTCTAGTTACAGCAGCTGAAGTCCCAACCGGCACATCTACACCAGTGGCCACGGGGGGAGCGATACCAAAGTCGAATGTCAACAAGCTGCCGGAGACTAGTCGGGATGATCTGTTGCAGAAGCAGTTAGCGGCGATGCAGAAAAGGCTGAAGGAGTTCGAACGTATGATGAAGGACAAAGACGACCAGCGTCTGAAGGAGCTCAGAGATCAACAGAAGAAATACGACCAGGAGCTGAAAAATACGGAGCAACGTGTGCGAGATTTGATGAGAAACCAACTGCGATCAACTGGTGTAAGTGGTAGCGGTTCAACAGCGAGTTCGACTGGCAATCAATCCCTGCAGGCTGGAGGTTCAAGTACGTCCGTTAATCAACTTGATGGAGTGCCGAGAGCGAGTTCGACTGGGAATCCTCCTCCACAAATCACCGTGAACCAGGAAGGCACCGATCTAGCGCAAGAGTTGCAGCTACTACAAGAGAGGCAGGCATTGGAAAGGAAGCATCTAGATGAACGAAGTGTACTACTACAACGGTACGCGAATGTCGACGGAGGAGCAGCTGGAGGTTTCGGTTTGAATCCTCAGACGACGGCGTACCAACCAACTAGGAGCAGTCTCTTCGGCATCCCATCGCTTAGCCAAAGCCAAGTTTCAGCACGTCAAGCGGTAACCAAGGAACTTCCAAACTTTTCCGGGAATCCAGAGGAGTGGCCGCTCTTCCTAGCAAGTTACGAGAACTCGACTAGAATATGTGGGTTCAGCGATGAGGAAAATCTTCTGCGTCTTCAGAAAAGCTTGAAGGGAAGAGCATTGGAAGCGGTGCGCTGCCGGTTGCTTCATCCTACGAATTTACCAGGTGTGATCTCGACGCTGAAAACCCTATTCGGAAGGCCAGAGATCATCATCCACTCATTGGTCAACAAGGTTCGTGAAATGCCAGCACCGAAGGCGGAGAAGCTTAATACACTTATAGACTTCGGAGTAGCAGTGCAAAATGTCTGTGCCGCCATTACTGCGTCAGGTCTGGACGAGTATCTGTGTAACGTAGCCCTGCTCCAAGAGTTAACAGAGAAATTGCCACCCGCTATCAGATTGAACTGGGCGTACCACCGTCAGCAGTTGAACGGAGTCACACTGTCGGATTTTGGAGATTGGCTGGGGAATTTAGTCGAAGCAGCGAGCATTGTCACGATACCTTCCATCAGTGGTCCCAAACCTGAAAGACGCAACCGGAAAGAAGAGAATTACGTCAACGTTCATACCGATAGCTACGCAGTCAAGGATGCCGCTTCGAAAGATCGCCCAGCAGTTGCACTGAAGAGGTGTGCTGTTTGTTCGGAACAATGTAGCGGTCCTGAAACGTGTCAGAAGTTCCTCGATATGGATGTCGGATCTCGGTGGACTATCGTCAAGGAGCAGAAGCTTTGTAGAAAATGTCTACGGAAGCATTTCGGCGCCTGCCAGATCAAATCACCATGCGGGAGGAACGGCTGCTCGTTCATGCACAGTAAATTACTACACGATGATAAACGTTACAGCAAACCCACCGTTCCTGAATCGTCACCAAGCGGAAGTCCACCGGAGAGCTGCAACACACATTCGAAGCCGGCAGCAAAGATTCTTTTCAGATACGTGCCTGTGACAATTTATGGCAAGGAGAAGCAGCTGACAACCTTTGCTTTCCTTGACGACGGATCGTCGGCAACGTTAATGGAGCATAGTCTCATGAAAGAACTCGGGCTCAAAGGCACATCTCATCCGTTGTGTCTCAGCTGGACAGGTGGCCATCAGCGGAAGGAAGAAGAGTCGGTTGTCCTAGCGCTGAAGATTTCTGGTACGCACGGCGCCAAACAAGTCTTCGAGCTCCCTGAGGTTCACACGGTTCGGGATCTTTCTCTACCAAAGCAGTCGATGCTAGTGTCACAGTTGACAACTAAGTACAACTACCTGACTGGGTTACCCCTGGAATCTTACGACAGAGTTTCCCCCAGAATCCTAATCGGAATGAACAACTGTCGGCTAGGACACGCCTTGAGAAGCATCGAAGGAGGTGAAAACGAACCGATAGTATCCAAAACCCGACTCGGATGGCTGGTTTACGGACGGTGTGAGATGGCATCCGGTGCATCGACCGCTGACTATAGTGGCTATCATAGTTTCCACATTTGTCCATGCGTTAAGGACGAGGAAACGCAATTGAACGTGGCTCTTAAGAAATACTTCTCGATCGATTCCTTGGGAATCTCCGGATCATCTAAACCGTTACTCTCAAAGGACGAGGAACGAGCGATGCAGATCCTATCATCCGAAACGCGTTTCACTGGAGAGCGCTACGAAACCGGATTATTGTGGCGGTACGATCAAGTGCAGTTGCCAAACAATAAGGCAATGGCGCTGAAGCGGTTGGACTGTCTGCAGAAGCGGATGAAGCGAGACCTCGAGCTGGGTGCGGCAGTGCG